CGTCAGAACCTGACGCTCCGCAGGTCGCAACCCAGGCTCTCCAGCAGGCTGACCAGTTCCCGCAGCTTCTTGTTCACCCACTGTGGTCTGCACCGCAGCGGGTGGTCCAAAGCTAACTGGCGCACCAGCAGGGTGTTCAGGCCCCGCACTTCCTGTTGCCGCTGGCGTCTCCTCAGATGGCCTCATCTCCGTCGACGTGGAGGACGGGCCACGCGAGGTCTGACCAGCTACTCCTCCAAGGAAATCGGGGCGTGCCGCCACCAATTGAGCCTCCCTCTTAGCTCGCTCTGACCAGAAAGGATTCACTGTAGCACCCGCAGCTGTAGATGCCCCTTCATCGGCAATGGCCGCCGTCTCCCCCTGACCCTTCCCAGAACCTCTCTCCGCAGATCCTCTGGCCACACCTCGCTGATCAGGTGTCGTCGTCTTTTCTGCAGTGTCGTCCTGGGCCCTCGGTCGGGACTTCGACTGATCCTCTGCTGATGGGCTACTAGCAGCTTCAGGTGGATTGCTGGACGAATTGCCCAGTCTTCGCCGCGTGCTCACATCTTCCATGGCGCAGTGGAGGAAAGTTATTGGCCACTTGGGCTCATAACCTCCGAATCTACAAAGAGAAATCGCGCGCCTGCTTCTTTGTCTCGAGAACAAAAGGCCTTCGAATCGCGACCTGTATGCTGCAGCCTTCTGATTTACTCAGCCGCAGTGCAAAGATTTGGATAGTGCGTATGAGAGCGGAGGAGCATGTCTGTTCACACTCCCCCTGTGTGCTATCGCCATAGCACACACTTCACAGAGCTCAGATGGAAAAGGTTGTTCAAAAACTTGGTTAAATCAGCTCAAGGCCTTTCTGAGCATGTAGATCATCAAAACTTGGATCCCGCTATCCGGCCTCAGCACCGGTGGATCTCTCCCTTCATGGATTCCGCAGCTCAAACTCGGTTCGTCCGATCCACTTCTCAGTCGAGATTTGTCGAGCAGGCTTAGGATGTGGAACATTCCACGCATCTTCCAAAATTCCAGCAGGGTTGGTTGTCACTCCTCGATGGAAAGTTCGACGACGGCCAGTCAAGTTCGCCCAACTGACAGACTCAGGTAACCCTCCAGGAGAAGGCACAAACAGCTGCCTCCTTTCTTGAGCGTGAAATCTCACCAAAACACCTCTCAAGCGATCATGGTAGTAGAAATCTCGCTTCACGGCCTTGGGGATGCTCTGGTGATAAAGAGACTCCCAAGATCCCCACTCAGGCTTCGGATCCCAGGAGAACCGTGGAGGCAGTCGCAGCGTCCACCCTGGATGTATTTCCAGGCGTTCACTTTCGGTTTCTCGGCTTCTACGAACATTGACGATTTCAGCAGCTGCATCCTCCTGTAGGTCTTGCTCCAATCCCTTTTTCCCAGTACTTTCATCCAGACCATCCAGCTCACCAGCAGGTGCGCCCTCGGTCGAACCAGCACCGGAAGCATCATTGTCATGAAGCGTTCTCTCAGGCAGACCACTCAGCTCACGTCCAGGTTGCGACTCTCGACTCAGCAGTCCTTCTCCAGGCGCCGACGGTGGGCTCAGAAGCAGTCCTCCTCCAGGGTACGACCTCCTCCCTTCACGCGGGGTCGGGGCAGACGAGGAACCACTAGGGATATATAAGTGGCCGAGGACCCGGAACCCAACCACCTTCTGTCTTCTTCTTCTGGGGAATCAATTCGGGAACCCCTAGGGTCATCAGAGGCCGAGGCAGCCAAAGACCTGGAACCCAACCGATTACGCAACCCAGCCCTGGTCGTCCGTCTAATCGTCGTCTCTTCAGGCTCTAGACCCGAAGTCAAGTCGTCAGTTGATTGTTCGTCAATCATCGACCACTCTCCATCATCAGTGATCTCAGAACTCTGATCCCTCACCCTCAAGCTCAATGCTTGGATCCTCGGGACGCCTTCCTTGTCTCTGCAACACCAACATGCAAGTGCGAGCACACCGACGATGGTCAACACGCAACACACAAGCTGCAATGTAGTCTTCAACTCGGCAATCTCCGTGGACTGAGGGTCCTCAACATCAACCGACACATGCACCAGTTTCGCAGTCACAGCACGCAATGCATTCGCGACGGTCAACACACGCAAGGCTCGAGCTGCTCCGGGTGCTCCCCCGGTCCCTGTGAACCCGGTAGTTTCACTAGAAGATTCTCCCCCGGAGCCAGCTACAACCTTTTGCACCACAGGTTGACCTGATGAAGACGATGAGGTCGATGTAAAAATAGATGATGAAGTCGACTCCCTCCCATCAACTTTTGATGGATCCAAGCGTACACTCATCAGTTGTAGCAGCTCTCGTACACGCACTCCCTGAAGCGACTTTGTGCACAGATCCCCAAGCATGTATTGTCCTGGAACATGATACACACGGAATCGGGCACGCTCCAATTGTTCCATGAACCACGCTGCTTTCAACCTCAAATGCCGCGTTCGCCACGACCCTTGGGGTAGCGTCATGACCGTGCAAGCACCAACGTTGTCATTGTAAAGAAATGCTTGTTGAGGAGCTTCCGCTAGTTCTTCAAGTAGTCCATAGATGCCCTCTGCCAAAGTCATTCCATCCAGCGATGACTGTAGCTCCGCCTCAGCAGNNAGCGCATGGTTGCCTCATCGACATCCACCCGATGGGGGCATTGCCCCACATCAGTACGATTCCGCTCTGGCTGCGATCGGTCCCAGGACAAAAACTCGCGTCAGCAAACACCTCGATGAGATTAAAATCTCTCGCGATGGGAAGTTGATCCGCTGTGCCATGTCCTTGACCTGGCTCCCCGTAGATCAGCTTCTGATTCTTGGTGGCGCGCAAATATTTGATCATTTCTTCTCCGCGCGCAAAGCTTGATCGACGTCTCGGGTGATGAGTTGGCCGATACGACTCACGCCGAATGCGAGATCTGGTCTCGTGCGTGTAGCAAGCCAGAGAAGTTCTCCAGCTACTGCTTGTGCACGACGCAACTTGTCGATCGACTCCTGCGGCTTCGCATCTATGACCTCGCTTTCGCGAGCGTACGGACAGCTAGCCGTGCCCAGCACCTTGGAGTACTTGTCCAACAGCGACTGAACGTACTTGGCCTGTCCAACATGGATTCCATCAGGCTGCTGTCTGATCTCGAATCCGCAAAAGGTCACCACCCCTTGATCAGCATACTCCGGTTCGCTGATCTTCCACTTCGCCTTGATTGCCTCCCACACTGCCCTGGATGCCTCTGGAGTCCCAGACAGCAAAAGATCATCGACGTAGATCGTTAAGGCTGCAATCAACTTCGAAGTTTTCGGGCAGTAAAGAAGCCACAGGTTTTGATCATACTTGGATCTCTGCAGGTGTGTTGTCTGATTGTCACACCATACCTCAAGGGTGGGCAATGTCTCATCTCGATAAATCGCCCAGTCTGCTGGACTGGTCTGCAGTCCGTACAATGCACCCGTGATCTCCCAATACTCGCCTGGGGCTGCGAATCCCGCCTGCACTAATACAGACGGCGGCCTAAGCACGGTACGCTTCTGATGTTGGCGCAAGGGTGCCAGCAGAAAAGCTGTTCGAATGTCGGCACCTGAAGTACGCCATCCATGACTCCGAGTACGATGCCCTGCTGCCCTGAGGTGACAACGAAGACTTAACGAATCCGCACCCCCAGCGTAGCATTGAAGTTTCTGATCCCGGTTTTTGTGTTTCGCACTTTCAGAAAAGTTCCCGCACGCTACCACACGGCATTTGTGCCGCCCTGAGCCGCCTTTCCTCTGGAAGATGGCCTTAGCCGGCAGGATTTCGACCTGCTCACCAGCCTCCTTCCAGGCTTGCAACTCACTCTCCGAACATCTACGCATGGCTTCATGCACATCAAAGACATTGGACAGCTCATCAACGATCGCTCCCTTCCAATCTTCGACCTTTCTCAAAACCTCTTGATGTGACACTGACACTGTCTGCAAGGGCTGAGCCGGTTGCGCCTCCCAAGCAGAAGGCACCACCTCTTCCCCTGCCGAAATCCCTTCACCTGACGCCTCATCTTTATACAATGGAACCCCGGCTTCCAAAGCTGAATCCCAAGATACTCCTAGATGCGCCAATCTCGCACCTAAGACTGCAGACTCCGCTTCACCCACAGTTCCATTCTTCAGAAGATCACAAGTATCCTGCCACACTAGACCCTGCTCACATTCATCAATCCAAGTGCACAGGTCATGCAAATGAAGGTTAGGTGCAGTCCACCCCTCGCTAGCCGCAACAGCGACTTCTTCATCGTAGCATTTGTGCTGTTCAATCAAGAGATGTCGGAGCATAGCATGCTCACACCGCAACTGATGCACCTCGGAGTCAGACAATACGTCTTCCCGCAGTTTCGGACCTTCCGCTTCAACTTCCGCGCTGCCAGACGAAGGTTCTGCCGCCGGTGGTAAAGAATCGGTGGGAGGCAAAGGGAATGACAGTCCTAGGAGGAATTCTCTGAGGTCAATGGGCAGCCTACCAAGTTCCCTAGGGGTATAACCTACCAGAACTCTACGGGTTCCTTGGGAGGCTTCTACCGCATGAGGTTGGGAGGCATCAAACCAGGTCGGTTGCAGTTCACCACCTACATACCTTCCCTTAGCACCCAAAGACTCCGACGAAGTGTTAGGACCAGCTTCAATCCATATTCGCCCTCCCCCGAATCTACTAACCGGAACCACAAAATTCAAGGACCCTGGCTCATTCTTATCCCGATGTATCTCCGAAGTGAAGTTGCTTGTCACGCGAACTGAGCACCAGAATCCCGGGTTTCCTAAGCGTTCCCTTTCTTGTATCATGTAGCGATTGACAACCTGGGTCAACCGAGGCCTTCGGATGGTTTCTCTGGTGACCCCAAGCTTAGGCCCATGACGATAGAAACCCAAAGTAAAACCCAGTGCCCCAGATCCCTGAAGACTCTGATCAACCTTCCGAGTTTTAGGATTCCAGTTCCATAAAGAATCGGCAATCAGCTGATCGACATCTTCTCTTCGGAGCACAGTTTCAGCATTCAGAAGTTGTTCAGCCCGAGTTTCACTTTCTATAACTGATAGCTTGTCCGACACTCTCAGACCACAAAGACTACATTTCATGGACTCAGGCTCACGGATGGGTTCCTCGCACACATGACATGTTATGCACTCCTCTCGGCTCTCAACTTGGACGTCGTTTAGAGCATCCCAAATCGGGAAGCCGAGGAGACGCGCATCATGAGCATCAGTGGCGGTGCTCGGCGGCGCACGACGCGCATCATGAGCATCAGCGGCGGTGCCCGGCGACGCACAGCGCGCATCATGAGCATCAG